TAAAAAAAAAACAACACGAATTGAGAGGTAGCATGGTGAAGGGGTGAGGATTCTAAAACCCCGGGATTCGTCATGCCTCTGATATATTCTGGCTACGTGACTATCAGCAAGTCAAACAGCTTCTTAAGAGGTCCCAGTCAACTCTCTAAAACTAGAATTGTTCATACGAGACGTCCATTAACAGATGAAATCAAAGAGTCTATACCAAAAAGTTTCCACAAGTCACTAAGAAGGACGCAGGCTTTAGAGAGCATGTGAGGAAAGCATAGAAAAGAGGTGGTAGGGAATGCAATTAATCGGGGTAGGGAAGAGAAAGGAACAGATGTAAACATTGACCAATCAGGAACCGCCGAGTGCTTTTTTCAAATAAGAGAGATTTCGGTCGCAAACTACCCCAAAACTAAGTTTACCTTTTAGAACTAATTGAAATTAAACTAAAGAGGTAAGATAATATTAAAAGGAAATAAATTATGCAAAAACTAGAGTAATGAATAGACATTTGTAAAATAAAGGAAGAATTTTCCAAACAAAGAAAGAACGAGGGGTTGGGAGGATGTAAATGCTTATAAATATAAGCTATAAAGGTGAGGCTTCATTAACCAGTGCAACTGTTGAGTCCATCAGTAGAGTAGAGGGGATTGAACTATGAGCCAATTGGGTTGAAGCACAAGTCTCCGCATGTGACTTCAGTCCAATCAGTACGATTCTGCCTCTATAAAAGGCGGCAGTGGGGGCCGCTTTTTTATTAGTCTGTTGTAAGAGTAGTTCTACTCTCTTCGATATGGCTCGTACCAAGCAAACTGCTCGCAAATCTACCGGCGGTAAAGCACCCCGCAAGCAACTCGCTACTAAAGCTGCGCGGAAAAGCGCGCCGGCTACCGGCGGCGTGAAGAAGCCTCACCGCTACCGGCCCGGCACCGTGGCTCTGCGGGAGATCCGGCGCTACCAGAAGTCGACCGAGCTGCTGATCCGCAAGCTGCCCTTCCAGCGGCTGGTGCGCGAGATCGCGCAGGACTTCAAGACTGACCTGCGCTTCCAGAGCTCGGCCGTCATGGCCTTGCAGGAGGCGAGCGAAGCCTATCTGGTCGGGCTGTTTGAGGACACGAATCTGTGCGCCATCCACGCCAAGCGGGTCACCATCATGCCCAAGGACATCCAGCTGGCTCGCCGCATCCGCGGGGAGAGGGCTTAGGCCGAAGTTTTAATTTCCATAATTAACCAACCAAAAGGCTCTTTTCAGAGCCACTTCCCTTTTCATTGAAAATAGCTGTAACGTAGGAAATTTTAATTGGCCTGAAGGAGCGTTATGCACCGTTAGACGTTGGCCGGGGGGCGGGGGTGTACACTTCCGGATCTCGCGAGGTCCAAGTTTGACCTCAAGGTGAGGAACGGAGGCAAATGTTATCCATTGCGCCATACTTGCCCAATCAGGCAGGTCTAGCCAACAAAAAACAACCATGAAATCACAGAACTGAAATGCAAACGCCTGATTCCTGGATATTCTTGGTGTATGCAAGTAACGGCTCACCCTCTAGCACCAGATTTCATCCAACTCGGAAAATAATTTATAATGGAGCGTATGCAAATTAAGAATGTTGATTTTTTTTTTCTTTTCTATTGGCCAATAATAAACCAATCAGAATGCCCGATGTGAAGCCAATGACGTTTAGAAACTGTTCTATCCTAGATCTTTTGTGTAGGATCTTTTTAATTTTGCTCTTAATTTTAATTTTGCTTTTTAAAATTTATTTTCAGTTCCACCCCTCCCGCCACTCCCCCGCCCATTGAGAAGGCAAGAAATACGGGCTCTTTTTCTATTCTCCGCTTTTATTCCTATCTTCTGAGTATGTGTGGACGCGGGAAGCAAGTGCCAAAGCTAAGTCTTTATCTCCATTATCTGGATTGCAGTTTCCCGTGGGCTCTTCGAGGGAAACTACACATAATGAGTTGGCGCCAGGGCACGTGAAAGCATTTCTCGAACACTTAGCTGAAATCTTAGAATTAGCTGGTAATGCATCTCGTGACAACAAAAATAACTCGCATAGTTGCAACGGCATCAGCAGCGGGCCATACGAAAGGGACAGGAATTCAATCAGCCCTTGAGCAAAGTAACTCGCCCAGGGTGGTGTTCTACTCCAAATCCAATCTATACTGTCACCTAAGAAGATTCAAAGTCACCATGAGACTCCTGTGCCCTGGAAATCTTGCACAAGAGTTCTATAACCCAAAGAATCTTTTCAGAACCCTCTAACATAACTCTTGCATTATTGTTTTGTCTTAATAAATGTTAGTTGATTGCTAGAAGTAGTTTTCAAGCTTTGGGATTGAAAGGATTTAGAACCAGATGACCTGGGTTCAAATCCTGTTTCATCACTTACTGTGTGACCTTGGACAAGTCACATTGACTTCTTTGTATCCCTGTTCCTCATCTGTAAAAATGAGAGTTCGGCCAGATTTCTCTTGTCCTTTCAATGATCTATGATCCCGTGAATTTAACTGCAAATCAGAATTCAACTAACATTGATGAAAGAGGGAGGCAGGTAACCAAGATGGCCATCCCTATCAAAAGTTTTTAGTTCTGAGTGCCTCATTGAGGAACAAGTATATCAATTACAGCATATAATTCCATCCTAACAAGTTCTTTATTGATTACCACTCCCTTACAAGTATCAGTCTGACCATTTATTACCTAACATTCCTGCTTCTTATTCATACACATGACATTCCTGTAGAGAATTTGTCTTGCTTTCCAAATACATGCAAAATCTAGTAGTTTTGCCCAAATAAGTTAGCTTTTAATTTAGCTTATATATCAATAATTGTGTGTACATATATAAAAAGATATATAAAATGTGTGTACATGTATACATATACATGTATATGCATATATGACCCAGGCAAATTTTATTTTTTCAAGCAATAGCCTCCATGGCATCTTCCTGCTCTAAATATCTCTTTTCTTTCCTGGGGAAACTCGTAATATGGAAGCTTTCCCTCCATAGATGCAGATAGGTAACTCTGTAATTTAATCTTAAACATTGACTGAGAAACTGGAGTACTATGTCAAGAAAAGAAACTGGTAAATTGGAGAGAGATCAGCCTGGTAAAAGGAATAGGAAAGTTTAGCCTCCAGAGCAAGGGGGAGAGATGGGATCCGGTGGGTATATAGGTATTCACATTTTTAAAGAGCTGTGATGTGCAAAGGGAAATGGATTTAGGATCTTAGAAACATGGGATCATAGATTTAGAGACAAAAGAAATCTCAGAGGGAGCTTAATGGCCATATTTCTCTCCATATGTCTCCAATTTTTAAATAATTAAGTCAAAAGGCATTATTAATCTTTACTATGTGCCAGGCACTGTGCTAAGTGCTGGGGATACACTGAAAGGCAAAGAGATGGCCTTTGTCCTCAGAAAGCTCACATGTAGAAGATGTTATATATAGATGTTTCTCACCTATAGAAAAATGAGGCCTCCTAAGAGGTTGAGTGCCTTGCATATTTGTTCTTCCTTGGTCCAAAGAAGCAGAGAGAGTGTAGGATTTGGGTCTAGAGGATTAGCCCTGTGTCTTAATATTTGACTCTTGGCAGTTCACATAGTTCAACTCTCTGGACCTCATCTATGAAATGAGAGGGCTAGGCTATATGAACTCTAATCTAAGCTCCCTTCCAGTTCTAAATCTATGAACCTATGATCTTCAGTTACAAAGAGGCAGCTTTAGACTTCAGATAAGGTAAAAGTTCTAAATAATATGTATCTAAAAGTGAACTAGGCTTTTTCTGGAGATAAGGGGGTCCTCCTTGAGGTATCCAACAGAAGTACAAATGACAACTTTTCTGGTAAGTTTAACAGGGAATTCTTGCCCAGGAAGCCTTTTTCAACCATGTGACTTTGTAACAAAAGATTATACCTGTGTATATCTGTGTGCCACTTCATCTTTGGTCACAACAAACTCGTGAAGAAAATAGCACAAGTATTATTCCTATTTTACAAATGAGGAAACAGATTCAGATAGCTTAAGATTTGTCAGTGGTTATAGCCCCATGTAGGGATTTGCCTGCAGTATTCAAATCCAAATCTGATTTTCAAGTCTTTCCACTATAATATGCTGTGCTTTCCAACTCTAAAAATCCATGATCTTTTACTCTTTAATGCTCTGCTCCTCATCCTCCCCTGACTTCCTTGATTTTCTTCAGGTTCCAGCTTAAATCCCACCTTCTACAGGAGGGCTTTTCATTAGAAAAGCTTTTCATTCTAGTGCCTTCCAAATATTGACTATCTATAATTTATTCTCTACATAGATTGTTTGCACCTAGTTGTTTGCGTGTTGTCTCATTAGATTGTGATCTTTAGAACAGATACTTTCTTTTGCCTTTCTTTACTTCCTGAAGTGCTTAACACAGTGCCTGGCACATACCAGATAGTTAATGAATGTTACTTACTTTTTTTTTTAAGATTAAAGACATTCCATAATTGGAATTATGAATTGAAAACAGAACCCCAAAGGAGGAAACACAGTATACATACAGAGAGAGAAAGAGAGAGAGTTCTGCTCTAACTTTTGTGCTTTAAAGTTCCAGGTTTTTTGGTTGTGTTTTTTTTTTTTTTATGCCCAGTTCAAGTTTCTAGTCAATCACTGAAATTTCCACTTAGAAATTGGAGGAAATTTCGATATCAAGGGTAAAATGTTTCGTCTTTTTGGATAAAGCGATATGGTACAAAATGCATGACATTAAAAAGACACAGAGAAAACAATGAACAAAAGAATCAAAACAAAAACCCACTGTTACGCAGGGTCCGGAAGGATATTTTACTTAAACTAAGCTTAAAAAAACCAACGAAACAGGGGGATGAAAAACGGACAAATCCTATCACAGCGCGGGATTTCGAAAGTTTCCTAATCCAATCATGTAGCAGCTTCAGTACGTCTGGGTCTATAAATACGGAGCAGCAAAACACGTTCTCAGATTCTGCTGTTTCTTACTCTCTTTTATAAAACTATGGCTCGTACTAAGCAAACCGCTCGGAAATCTACAGGAGGCAAGGCTCCTAGGAAGCAATTGGCTACTAAAGCTGCTCGAAAAAGTGCTCCGGCTACCGGCGGCGTGAAGAAGCCTCACCGCTACCGCCCTGGCACCGTGGCTCTGCGGGAGATCCGCCGCTACCAAAAGTCCACCGAGCTTCTTGTTCGGAAATTGCCCTTCCAGCGGCTGGTGCGCGAGATCGCGCAGGACTTCAAGACTGACCTGCGCTTCCAGAGCTCGGCCGTCATGGCCTTGCAGGAGGCGAGCGAAGCCTATCTGGTCGGGCTGTTTGAGGACACGAATCTGTGCGCCATCCACGCCAAGCGGGTCACCATCATGCCCAAGGACATCCAGCTGGCTCGCCGCATCCGCGGGGAGAGGGCTTAAACTTGCTGGTCTTTTGTAAACTTTTCCAAAGGCTCTTCTTAGAGCCACCTACAGTTTTCGCTAAGAGCAGCTGTTGCATTCCAGGCCTTAATGAGTAAGAATAAGAATAATGTAGGTGGTCATACATCTAGTTAAGTGCCGAGGCTAATGTTGAACCAAGTATTCTGTGCAGTTCTGTATGCGGCTAAATTTGAAGGCCGTCTACAAGAGGTGCTTTGACCTCCTTTTTCCTACTTCTCTTTTAACCTATAGTCCGACTTCAGACCTAAGCAGTTCTCTTGAGGCAGCTAGGTGGCGCGATGGATAGAGTGCTGGGCCTAGAGTCAAGAAGACCTGATACTTGCTAGCCGCGTTTTGTGAACTTGGGTAAGTGTTGTGAGATCAAATGAGATGTTTGTAAAGCACTTAGCCCTGTCACATAACAGATCCCAAGTGAACATTAACATTGTTATATAAATTACTCCAAAACGAAGATCCAGGGGCTGCTAGGTGGCACATTGGGTAGAGCTCTGGCCTTGTGAGTCAGGAGGACCTGAGTTCAAATCCAGACTCACATACTTAACACTTACTAGCTGTGTGACTTTGGGCAAGTCACTTAACCCCCCCTGCCTCACCAACAAAAAAAAACCCAAAAGGAAGATCCAGGCATACTTAATTTAATTGAACAAACAGGTGTTTATGCATAAGGCATATTAGTTATAGAGGAAGCAAAAATAAAAGATCATTGTCTCCACCCTCAAGAAGTTCACAATTTTCTATTTAGGTTAAGAGACATGCAAAACTAATTATAATTTAGTACAGAATGTTTAAAGTGCAAAGGAGAAATACAAAATACTTTGAGAGAAATTAAAAGAGGGAGAGCTCTCTTCTAGACATGGCAACAAAAGGCTTCATGGAGGAAATGGCCACTGAGTTGGAGACAAGTGAAGCATAGATCTAGGTGTAACCCCAGGCATGCAAATGGGAGGGAGGAAAGCTGGGTCATGAGAAATAATTAACCAGCATTTATTAAGCACCTACTGTATGCCTGTATATTGTATCCCCAGTGGGCAGATAAAAAAGACAAAAATGAAAGTCTCAGTCCTCAAGAAGTTTTGAATGCCAAGATAATGAGTTTATACTTATTAACTTGTATTTATTTTGTATATGCTCATATATGTATGAGAAGTAGCATGGCATAGTGAATATAGAGACAGACTTGAAGACTTGAAGGCCTAAGCAAGACCAAATTCTCTCTGATACATCCTGGCTTTGTGACTGTGGGCCAATCACTTAATCTCTCAGCACTCCAGTTACTGTATGGACTCTTTGTGCTTCACTCTAGATAGAGCCTCCTGAGCTTGTATTGGTCTGATCAGCCACAGTAGGATACACTATACCTTAACTCCAACATAGTGATGTCATTTTGGTCCTCTTCAAGAAAGGAGAACACCAATCACTCCAGGCAATTCTCTAAGACTACATGTTGAAGAAAAGTTTCAGTCCTATGTTGACAGAGGGAATTTCCTCTTGTGGGAGTTCTCTATACCAATGAAATCATAGGTCTAGTAGCCATCTCTAGTACAGGTTGTACTGCATGATATTCTATCATGTAAGCTCCTTGAGGACAGAGACTTTCATTTTTGTCATTTTTATTTGTATGCAGCACCTAGCACTATGTTTAGCTTACAGTAGGTACTTAAATAAATGTTTGTTGATTGATTTGGACTTCAATGGAATCATTAAGACATTACAGCCCAAGTACTCTAGATATTACACTGATTTAAAGATGAAATTGTAGGCAATCATTGCTATAGGTTTCTGAGCAGAGGAATGATGTGGTCAGATTGGTGCCTTAGAAATGTTACAAAAGCTCTAAATCTGGGATTTTCAGCATGTCAGCTAGAGAACTCTGGAGATCCTAGAGACCCTTTCAGTGGATCTGTGAAGACAAAATTTCCGTAATAGTACTATGACATTTTAATTGCTAACATGGTAAATCTCAATACATAAAACCTAGATGAATGTAAGCTCTTTGGGGTGATCCTCAGTTTTTAAGAGTGTAAAAGGATCCTAATACCAAACAGTTTGAGAACCACTGCTCTAAAAATGTCATCCTCAGCTCCTCATTTTTTCTCATCCCAAATATACAATACATTGACAAATCTTATCATTTCTACCTTCTTAACATTTCTTCTGTGTCTCATTCTCTCCATTCACAAAGCCACAGACTTATTTCAGGCCCTCATCACCTCCTACCTCACAACTACTATAACCCTCTAATTGGTCTTTCAAATCTCTCTCCACTCCAATCCATTCTCTATTCAGCTGCCATGATGATTTTTCTAAAGTGTATTATCTGACCATGTTTTCCCATTCACTACTTGATGAGTTCCAAAGGCTACCTAGTAACATATTATATTATTGCCCTAGCTTTGCATTTCTAGCACTACATTGTATAGTAATGATATTAATGGACATCCTTGCTTTACCTTTGACCTTATTGGAAAGGCCTCCAGTTTATTGGATTTCATTTTATCTAAAATGGAATAATTTCATTAGAAATAATGCTAACTGAGGGTTTTAGATAGATACAACTTATATTAAGAAAAGATCTCCTACGCTTTCTAATATTTTTCATAGGAATGTGCATTGTATTGAGGAAATTAATTTTTGGTCCTATATTTTATATTTGACTTTGTGCAGTAACAATTCTGTTAAATCTGAAGCCTATTCTCTGAGGTTTGGGTGGAGAAGCTTAGGTGTGCTAAAGTCCAAACCTCCCCTCTCTCTGATGTTAGATACCAAGGATACAATGCTGATACTAAAAGAAAAACTCTGTTCTCAACACTCCCATAAAACATTGTTTCATTACGTCCTTCAAGGCTTGTGGCATATTCCTGAGAAGCTAGGGACACCTGGCCTTGTCCCATCTTTAACCAATTAAGGTGGTCTTATGGAATTCCCCAATCCCTAGTAAGTTTACCCTTATCAGGGACCTCAGGGAATAGCTAGAACCTGTAAATTTACAAAGGCATTCCTTAGAGATGATGAGAGGTGGTCCTCATAGTATGTGGGGGCTATGTCAGATTTCTTTGATGCAGCCAATAATTATCTTTCATCTCTGTCCTGCTGGACAGTTAGATGCTTTCTGTTTTGTTCTTTGTTCTACAATTATAAAAATGTACTGCATCTTTAATTCAGTGTTTCTTAGCCAGAGGCAGGGCCATTTGACATATCCTTTATTAGGTCACCTGCTCCTCATTTAACTCCAATTCACTTGCATCTCCTTCTTGATGGCATGATCCTCTTTGAGGACAAAGGACAAACAACAACCAGCCTGTCATAACAAACAATGTCTTACTCGGAGATTTGCCTCAGTTTGCCTCTTTGTTAAATTTCAAATGAAACAGTATCTTTTCAAAAGCTTTTTCTGTGACTTATTGCTATAATTTTAAGTTTTTTTGTTCTTGTTATTAATATGGTCAATTATTTTCATAGTTTTCTTAATATTGGACCAGTCCTGCATTCCTGGTATAAATCTAACCTTGTCATAGTGCACAATTTTTGATCCGTTGCTGTACTGTCCTTACTAATATCATATTTAAGTTTTTTTATATCAATATTCGTTAGGGATATTGGTCTATAGTTTCTTTCTCATTTTTGACTGTCCCTGGTTTAGCTATCAAGACCATTTTGGTATCAAAGAAATTTGGTAGGATCCTTTCTTTACCTATTTTTCTTGAACAACTTAATGTAATGTTGAAATTAATTGTACTTATTAATTAATTGTAAATGTTTGATATAATTCACTTGTTCATCCATTTGCTACTGGGTTTGTTTCTTTGGGAATTCATTTATGCCTTGTTCAATTTTCTTTTCTAAGATTGGGTTATTTAGATTTTCTTTCTTGTCTATTAATCTGGGCATTTTATATTTTTGTAAATATTTATCCATTTTATCTAAATTATTTATTATTGGTATATGATTATGTTCTTACATTATATATAAGTATATAATAAGTTCTTAATAAGTTATTTTATTTTTTATTGGTAGTAAATTAACATTTTTTCATTTCTGATGATTTGGTTTACCTCTTTTTTAAAACAAAGTAGTTAATAGTTTATTTTATTGATTTAAAAAAACAGCTAATTTTTTATTAATTCAATGATTTTTTTCCTGTTAATTTTGTTGATCTCTTTGATTTTCATGATTTTCATTTTAGTGTTTAACTAGAGGATTTTAATTTATTGTTTTTTCAGGTTTTTTTTTTAGTTGTATGCCCAACTTGATATGTTCTTTATTTTATTGATGAAAGTGTTTAAAGATATAAATTTTCCTCCAAAGACTACTTTGACTTCATCCCCAAAATATTGGTATATTATTTCATTTAAGTAAATTATTGATTGTTTCTATGATTTTTGCTCCATCCATTCTTTAGGATTATTTAGTCTCCAATTAGTGTAAATTGTATCTATCAGTGGCCCTTTGAATATAATTTTTATTGCATTGTGATCTATAAAAGATGTGTTTAATATCTCTGCATTCCTGCATTTGTTTGTGAGATTTTTATGCCCTAATACATGGTTAATGTTTTTAAAGTTTCCATGAACAGCTGAGAAATAGGTAAAATGTATATTCATTTCTATTCTCATTCTATAATCTCCAGAGGTATATTATATCTAACTTTTCAAGATTTTCACTTGTTTATTATTATAGTTTGTTTTGCCTTAACTAGATCTGAGAGGAATAAATTGAAGTCCCCGACCATTATAATTTTACTATTTCTTCTCGTAACTCATTTAACTTTGCTTTTAGGTATATGGATGCTGTGCCAGTTAGTACATATATGCTTAGTATTGATATTAATTCATTGTCTGTGGTACATTTCAGTAAAATGTAGTTTCCTTGTTTATCTCTTTTGATCGTTTTTGCTTTTGCTTTGTCTGAGATCATGATTGCTTTCCTTGCCTTATTTTAACTCTCTATGGATCTTTCTGTTTTAAATGTGTTTC